TTGCTAACATCATTGACTTGGGCTACCCAGGACATATTGCAGTCAATAATAAGTCCCAAGTTCCTTACTGAATCGCAGTAAGAAATTGGAACCCCGTCATAAACTAGTTTGGGAACTAGCCCCCAGTCTAGTTTGCTTCTGAGCCTGCTGCTGCCAACAATTATTGCTTGTGATTTTATGGGATTCACAAGAAGGCCAAACGATTTAGCCCACGACTGTATAGCAGACAGGTCCATATTTAACAAATCAATAGCCCCGGGCAGCTCAGCCAGACTGAAATGTCGATAAAGCTGTAAATCATCTGCATACAGATGGAAGGGAGAAGTAATAATTCGGGAAATGTTATTAATAAAAAACAGAAAACAGTAATGGAGAAAGTACGCCGCCTTGAGGAACACCAGCCGTGAGCTCTAACCAATTTGACGAGGTATCGTCGGTTTTTACACACTGCTGGCGTCCGAAAAGGTACGAATGAAACCAGTTAATAACAAGAGGAGAGACGTTGACTGCACGAAGAGTACCAAGAAGTATGTCAAAATCAACGGAGTTGAAGGCGCTGCTGAAATCCAACAGAGCAATTGCAGTGAGCTTGGTGTTATCCATAGCACACCGCACATCCTCCGTTATCTTCAGCAAAGCACCAACAGTGCTGTGGGATGAACGAAAACCGGATTGGAAAGGACATAACAGGTTGTAAGTTGTAAGGAAGGAGTAAAGTTGATCGTGCACAATGGACTCAATGACCTTAGAAAGGATAGGGAGGATAGATATAGGACGGTATTGGGACATAGACGTAGGATTGGCGGTTTTGGGAAGAGGTATAACGATAGCCTTCTTCCAGAGTGTCGGGAAGACATTGCACGATAGTGAAAAATTTATGATGTGGGTGAGCACTGGTGCAATATCATCCAACACTGGAAGAATCATGTTAAGGCTAAGACTATCGCTGCCAATGGCTTTGGTGGAAATAGAACGGACACACTTCTTGATAACATCTTCAGAGACTAACTGAAAAAAGAAAGAAGGACAGTTTGGTGGTTCAAGAGAAGTTAGATAAGAAAGAGTATCTGATTTCGTTTCGGAATCTACAGTAATGGGGGGGCTAGAAAAGAAAGAATTTAATGTATTAAGGTCAGCGGGACTGGGGCAGGCTACAGTAGTTTTGCCCACACCCAATGACCTTAAAAAACTCCAAACTTGGGTTTGACAGAGATTTTTGATTGTGGAGTGAATATAGCGACGTTTTGCGTCCCTACACATTCTGTTGCAGATGTTACGTAATCTTTTATATGCTACAACATTTTCATTAGATGGATACTTTTTACATCGATTCCTGGCTTTATCGCGTTTTGCCATGGTGTTTCTAATTGCTGGTGTTAACCATGGAGCTGGTGCATGCTTTATCCGCACTGGTCGTGCAGGAGCATGGATGTCATACACACGAATCAGTTCAGTAGTTAGATCGTTGACCATGGCATCAATGTTATTCGAAGCTAGTAGTGACGACCAGTCGATGTTTCTTACGTCCTCTCTCAAACGTTCAACATTAATATGCTTGAAATCGCGCTGAATAGAAACTTTGCCTCTAACCTTAGGAGGACGCACTTTATAAGTGAGAAAAATTAAGTCATGATAGGAAAAAGGAGCAGACATTTGTCCGTGAGAAATAACAAAATTAGGGTTAGAGACAAATATCAAATCAATTAAGGAAGGCTTACAGCCAGGAAAGTAATGAGTGGGAGAAGACATTGAAAGTATATCTAAATTAAAAGAGGACAACAATGCATTCAGTTTCTGAGCTCGTGAATCGTCTTTCAGTATACAAGTGTTCAGATCTCCCATGCATATTACGTGATCAAAGTTTGGTAAAAGATGGTATAAAATATTTTCTAAGTCATTGAAATAGTTAATTTTATCACTAGGGTTGTAAAGAACACCAAGTAGAATATTTTTGTGATGAATCTCAATATTTAAAAAAAGATATTCTATTGAGTCTAGCGAATGTGTTGGGGAGCAGAGAGTAATATTGGCTGGAATGTCTCCACGCAAATAAATACCCCACTCCACCACCACCACGCCCAACGCGGTCGTGACGAAACAGTTTGTAGCCGGGTAAAGAACAACAAGTAGATGGTAGAGAGGGTTTCAGCCATGTTTCAGAAACTAGAATGCAGTCGACTACACTAGTGTCAAAGGATGCGAGAAGATCAGAATGGTGAGCTGGTAGACTCTGCGCGTTGATATGCACGAGTGAAAGGAGGTTCTTATTTGGGAGAAATACTTTCCGGAGCTTTCCCTCCAGAAGTTCAGTATCGGATAGTGAGCTATTGTTACTACTTAAGGCACTTTCATAATCATCTGACGTACAAGAAAAATAATCATCTTCAAAATTCATAAATGTAGAAATAAATAGGAAGAATATAAATTAATAAATAAAAATATGTATATAAAACTATAAAAACACAGTATAAATATTTACTAATGGTATAGACTGTAAAAAAATAATAATAATATAAAAATAATAATAATAAAAAAAATAACAATAATATAAAAATAATAATAAAAAAAAACAAAATAATTAACTGCCAATAACAACACTATTCCTATGTATAAGTTGACTGTAAGAAAAACATAGTTATACAAAATTTTATCATGGTTAAATAAAAAATAAAAAAAAATTGTTCTAATAATTTAAAAAGAAAAATAAAATAACGAGAGGAAGAAAATCAAACTAAGACAAACTAAATTAAAAAAAAAAGTTACCAAAATATACAGAAACAAATAAAAATACGTAACTATCTACTATCTAACTGTCTACTAATAATAATCTACAGAACTTTAAAATCATGAGATCAATCAAAGATTAAAAAGCGATTAATGCAACAACAAAACGCAATGCTGACAGATAGTAGACGACGCATTACGTGAAATGGACAGCTGATAGTTGACACTTGACAGTGACATCTAACATTCTCGTCAATCATATGAGTGTTATTTTTTACTTAAAATACCTTAATATACTAAAAAGTTAGTGAAATTCATAAAGATAACGTTTAACTGTTTGAGATTAAGATAAATGATGTAAACAAAGAGACTTGAGTGTACCCTCAGATACTATGAACAATTATTGGAATGTTAAAACATGACAAAAATAATAATTATTATGATAACAATATTAATAAATCATCAAATATGTTTTAAACACTATGGAGCTGTCGTGTTTTTGGGATACTTAGCTATCAGCTGCTTAAGTTCATCTTGAGACACAACCTTCACACGGGATTTGTCCGGCAGAACAATAGTTATGATGCCATCTGCAGACCAGCATCTTCGTATCCCGAAGTGATTTCGAGCCGCAACAAAAACTTCCTGACGGGATTTTGTTAGGAATTCCGTTACTTTAATTGAAGAACCTTTCAACGACGTTTTAGCCTTCCAGACGGTTGAGCGAAGTTGAACAGTTGTGAACCGTACTAAAACAGGCCGAGCTGAGTTCTTTTTTACACCTAACCTGTGGCAAGACTCAAGTGACTCAGGTTTTACATTAGTTAGTTTCATCTGCTCCGTCAACACAGTCATTGTCTTCTGTACCACATCTTCATCCATGCTCTCCGTAATGCCGTGAAGAAGTAAAACTTTTCTTCTAGACTGTGTCTCCAAGCGATCGAAGCCAAGGACAAGGAGTTCAATCTGGGACTTGAGTATGCCTAATGATTTCCAAACAAAGGTCTTAAAAGTTTGGAACTCTCCAGCTAAGGCTTTCACTGTTGGATTGGAAGCAGAAGTGGGTTGCGGTAAACTTTTCTCAAACTCTCCCATCCTGGAGTTGAATATATTTGAAAGCTCTTCCATGCTTTTTATAAGCTGCTCAGCTGTTGCGTCCATGATGATGTGAAGTGATTAAAGTGAAAAGGTGATAATTTGTAGAATAGTTCAGTGACCGCCAACTTATACACAGGTACACTTAATTTATAACATATGTGAGAATTAATAATTTAAATATTTAAAAAATACAGAGCTCTAAAATTTGCGTGTTTATAATTTCGTGCCTACCCGCCGAATCCAAATTAGAAATTATCGTCATAACAAAATAAATTGAGTAAGTATAATAATCAATTTGTCACTGTAATGCCACATGTAGCGGGAAAATTATCAAAAAATCCTACAAGACAAGATGTCATCACGTACATAAAATATTGACGCAATAAACTAATGACAGAATACAACCCTGGACTGCCCTCTTCCATCACTTAGGACTTGTCTCAGAATGACGGTGAGGTTATAGTGTCCCATGGATATTATTTAGATACTATAACTAATAAAAATGTAGGTATAGTAAGTAGCCAAATTCATGTACAATTTTTGGTACATTAATACAAGAACGTGGCAAAAAAATATGACGTCACAACTCAAAGTTCAATCAATTGAAGTATACTTTCTTGTTTAGTTTAATAAAAACGTTTTATTACGAAATATAAAAATCGCTTTCCGCTCGTCCATCGCCGCTACCTTAGTCGCGTGTTTCCACCTGACTCGATTTATTTAGTGGCAGCAAATGGTCGGTTTTTCTCTCAGTTTTCGTGTCGTAAATCGAGCGGAAGATCGTACTTGGGGTAAGATTTGATATTTGTCAAGAGTTGAGATGATGATGCTTGTGATTTGGTCGAGATGGTCGGAAATTATTTTTCAATTGTGTGTAATCGCCGTTTTATTCGAGTTTATCATTAAGTTAATAAGGTGAAATTGATATAAAAAATCTCTTCGTTAGATGAAACTGAACAAAATTATTCTAGACTTTTATCTAGGAAAACTAATTTAATCAATAGATTTTCTATTAACAAAAAATATCGTTTGTTTCTTTATTCATATGAATTATGTACTAAAATCAAAGGTTTTTCCACTGAATGAGAATTTTTCATAAATTAAAAAGTATAGAATTTACCTGTATAAGAAATGAGAGTACATTTATTAATTAACTCACAATCTATCTATAATACCAATCACAGCATCTGGTGATGGTATGCGAGAGGAACGCTAACCAGACGCTCAGGAAATACCAACACTTCACATTCTTCCGGCACCAACACTGTCAAGTGATTGATTCTGAACGGATAAGAACTGCTGCAATGTTTACTTGTGGTTAAATTAACCGACTTCGAAAACAATGTATAATGTATGTTACATAAATGATTGATTTATATCCCTTCTAATATTATAGATGGAGTTGACCTTGAGAAAGAACGTAGGATAGTTTTTATCCCAGACTTTTGAAAGGTTCTCTTGGAAACGCGATATAACCGAACTCCACGCGGACGAAGCTGCGGACGAAAAGCTAGTACAATATAAATACAAGCATGAAATCTAATACATCTTTAATTTATTTCAATGTCTTAATAAATAGATGTAACAATAAAAAAACTATTCAAATATAAGGACATTATCATCACGGTGGGAATAATAAAATGATGTAAGATTAAATTAGTTTCTGAACTTAGCTATTACGTTTGACCTTAACTAATACACGAAATAAAATGACTCTTATCACAACGTGTTAAAGTTCATTTTGATACGTTGTTTGATGTTTTTTGGTTATTATATTCAAATGGTCTTTATGCATGTCCGTCAAATATATATTATTATAACCGAAAGTTAAAAATAATTTAATATATCTTAGGTGCTATAGAACTATTAAAAATATTATGGTTTGTTTTGTATATACATTTTTTACTAAAAGATTTTTTAATAACTTTTCTATTTTAACAAAAACATTAGAAGTTTTAATTGTTGTGTACATTTGTTGGTAGGTAAGTATTTTTTGACCCACACTAAGCACACGGTCCATTATTGAGTGCGGGGTAAAAGTTTTCGAGTTATTTCTGCTTCATCGGAGTTCATTTAAGATGTGATCTTAAGGGGTCCAGATGAACCAGGTTTATTGACTCGAATTACGATTTGTCTCGATCAAAACACAAAACAAATGTTTTTCATCAAGTGCTGTAATAAAATGTTTGCTTTGTTTTTCATTTAGAGAATTCTTTAATCTATTTATGATTCATTGAATGTATAGTATTTATTTATATTCTATTTAATTAACAAATTTTGGGGGAGAAGTGATGTTCAAACAGCTGATTTTATATGAAAATGTATTAAGGTAAAAAAAAATTACGCGTTCATACATTAATAGGAATAAAATAAAATAGTAAAATAGTACCTTTGAATATAAATATCTACCAGCTGTATGCATCTAATAAGGCTTTGAAACAACATAATCCCAGACGTAATGATAGCCATCTGTAAGCTATAAATTGTTAATAGCCAATCGCTTGTCAACCAGCCGTGGGTGATATACTTAAAGCTTATTCTGGTGAGCGATTTTAAAACGATTCTTATACTAAATCATGGAATTAAGATTTAATTTCCTATGACAGTATTTTATTTACAATCTTAACAAAGTATACACATTCTTAGAACATTTAAAAGTGTGATAGTTTTGCTTCAATTTGATGACCATTCAGTTACATTATAAAAAATATATATATTAAATTGAATTTTCATATATACATTGAAATAATATTAAGGTAAATTAAGTTGTTTTGTTTAAAATGTCTAGCATTAAGTTGATATATAAGTATATATGAGGCGCTATAATAATGCTATCAGTCGGTACAAATGCTCGTCATAATAACGCCGTCTCTGTAGGACGTCGCCTCGAGGCTCAGTGCGAACACTAGACTTTCACCGTGTGTCCTAAGCCTAAGATAGGCTAGATTTATTAGTTATACGAAACCAGCTAAAGGTTAGCATTTGATGGCTCGTTAGGAAACAGCATTAGATTATAGCTGACAATTAGTTATGTTAACCAACCCGAAATAACTGAGTTAAGTTATATTATGTTTACTGTAATAAACACACATAATGTATAATAATCTTAATAGTTCTGATAAATTATATACGTTGTAACATCCAAAGAATGCTAGCCATATATTGGTATAATTCTCCTCTATCCTAATTTCCTCGACTTCCTCGTTCTTACAATGCTTCTCCACGATAACTCTTCTTCCTCCAAGCCCTGCACCGCCTTACTTCTTTGTCAAAGTTCCATAAGTCAGGTATTTCCACCACCCATTGACAGCCGGGGGCAGCGTGCACAATGGCGATTGTTCGCATCCGATTATAAGATAACTTCCATTATTTATTAGTTACTTAATGTTACTTGGAGTAGGAATACGGTTTAGGTGATATTTTAATGGAATTATATACATATAATATATATGGATGAAGATAACAGTTGTAAATTCATATTCAAGAACGAATGGTGGTCATTTATGGCATTTTTTGTCCATCAATATGCCTTCTGATGTCCAATATTCGATGGGTTTAATAAAACATTAAAATAATGCCAAAGTGCTAAGTAATATCAATATTAGTAGCTTTGTTGAAAATTAAGTTTTTGAAATCTCGATCTTGTTCTTGCAGTCTTCCCAAAAGAGGATGAAGAAAAAAGTTACAAGATCCTACAATTTCATCAAGACTGACAATGAAAGATTTAAGCAAGAATAACACAGAGCTTGTAGGCCTTGCCACTTACAGATAAGACCGATTATTGTTTTAAAGAGATGACAGAACAAAACAAAAGAGGATACAAAAAGTTTTAGTAGTAAGAAAATAGGAAAGTAAATTGCTTACTGTCCACAGATTTAGAGGACTATCAGTGCATTTACTTTGAAAGAGAACTTAAAGGGGTTCAAATAAATATTATAGTATGTAAAAAATAAATAAAAATTAGATTATAAAAGATATGAAGCTGCAAATGTATGGACGAATATGGTTCTTCCAAAAAAAGAATTCTTTAAGGTACAGTCAAGCTAATTAGTTATGCTTATCGAATGTCAAAGTTTATTAAGAAACTGCCTTCCTTACGACGCGGTTGATAGCACAGAAGGTTAGAAGGTCGGCACAGATCATTTAAGTCCTGGGTTCAAATCCACCTGTGTTAAGTTTATTTTTTGTAAATCAAGCGTTTAGGAAATTACTACTTGATTTGGTCTTTATCAAGCTCTATGAGTTAGGTAAATAATAAAATCTAAAGTACCTTTTAATAAATAACTTTAGGCTTTCTAACTTTCTGCAAAACCAAGATCTACATAGATAAGTCTCATCTTGTTCACGCATTCGGTAAACACTATATGTTAGTAAATTTACATCGTCAAATAAATAGATATATAAAAACCGTCAAATAACAATTTTTGTCACACTATAATCATATTCAATTAAAGCATATTAAAAACACCGAAAAGCCAAACAGGAAAATAACCGATGAAGGACGCAATCAAATAATTATTATAATTCGATGTCAATATCAATTTGATAACGAAAAAATATCGGAAAAATGTTGTAAAGGACAAAAAATATTACAGAAATAATGATTTTTATTATTACGTATGATTATTGCTCTTGGACAATAGTACAGATGTGACCATCATATTATGAACCACTCCGTCCCTCACCTGTCCAAGTCAGTCAGACGAGTGAGGAGGTCGCATACTGACGATCAGGTGTCATTCTAGAATGGTCATGAAAAGGTTATACCAAATCGATGGCGGGAACACAAAAGATTACCTCGTGTGTCAGAGGCGTCACGTTCTAAGATGATTGTCTATAATTAGAGGCGCGTATTAAATAAATTAAAAGGTAGATTTTGGTAGCGGATGTTGCTATGTCAATGTCAAATTGACATGTATTGAATGTGTCTGAAGTGAATCGAATGTAATTATGAAAGACCTTAACCGTCAAATGATTCGAGAACATTTATCATTATTATATATTTTTTTGTTATTACAACGTCGTAAAACTAATACGTAATAATTATTATTCCGTTCGATGCGTTTTTGAACGCATTACTGAGATTAAAACACGGAAACGAAAACAGAATTGATGGCAGTTTATAACGTTTATAACGTAAGTATTGCCAAGACTTTCCATTAGTACGACAAACAATTCGTTTCAGTTTCGAATTGCTACTAATTACTCGATGCCGGAGAGTCGATGTATCGATTAAATTGAAATTGACAAAACATCAAAGACGGCATCGGAGATATTTCAATAAGACAGATTGACTAATAATGAACAAGCCATTTGATGTGTCGTGAGAACTCGAACTTCGGATGCTTTTACAACTCTTCGAGCGAGGCTATTAAAATAACGTATAACTACATATGTATAAAATTATAAAATAAATAAATATACTTTATATTCACAATTTTTTTCTCTTAAAAACATTATTTTTTAAATTTAAATATAATCAGCGAGTTGTAAGTTTTCCAAGCGAGAAATATTTTACACATCTTTATAAACAAACAGTATAGTAATAAATTAAAGTTTATTCTTAGAAAAAACTATAAAATTATAGAAAATTATTTTATTATATCAATGTTTTTTAGTTTTCGCACTAACTTTGTATGATCGGTACATGTATTTGGTAGAAAAATTTACTCTCACATTTAGTGGCCCGCCCTTAAAGCGCGACTTTTACAGCCGATCCAAGAAATCCACCTATTTTGGATTCGTCACGCAATTTGTCAATCAATTCTCCGTCACCGCATACGATATAGTCTCTACTAAATTAAATGTCAATTTTGTTAAAAAAAAAATCCCCTTTACGTTCGCCGCTCGCATATTAATTCCGATAAAATTAATAACGATGACAAATTCATTAATTTGAATTGCTTTTAACTGGTTTCTAAACTGTTAATAGATATTACACAGAATCGTATGATGCATGTTTCGATAACTTCTATCTTTCTATCTATTTAAATAGTTTAATTTTTTCCGGCCGCGTTTATAAACAAAAAATGAGTGGGATTTTTGCCTAAAATTTCTAATTAATTACAATTTATAGTCCTCATTATGATATTATATTAAAAATAATCAAAAAATCTTTAATTTTAATTAACGCAACGAGTGGAGTCGTAGAATTCATGCTAGTTGAAGTCAATTTGGTAACAAGAGACATTGCCGGTAGGTAATTTTTTTCTATCTAGTGATGCCCCAAAGCGACAAATAAATCGATTCACCACGTATTACGAATAACATCAATTAAAACATTCTATGTCCATCTACAGAGCCACAAATTGTGCGTGGATAAAGATTTTATGGAATCATTAATATTTATTTCATAGCTGTTCCTAAAACGATGAGGTTTCTATTGCACAACAACACTACATATATAATTTCAAAATATCTATTATAACTGATATTATTTTCATTAAAAATAACACTGTTACGTCATGAATATAAAGTACTTATTAGCACTGAAGCAAAAAACTACAGTATTATCGAATAAATATGTAGAATTTGTGTTACAAAGTCGTTCAAATTACTGACTTGGATATCTAATACTTCTGACACATGAAAGTCGAGTGTCAATGTACTAGAAGTAGTTATAAACATGTAATTGTGTATATCTCGTCATCTTTTTAGACAATGCGTACGCTGTGTCCACCTACCGGAAAATTACAAAGGAAACCTTGCTATGTAAAACAATGAATCAGATATAAACGCCATTGGTTGCGACAAAACTATAGGCCGTACGTCCGCGAGGTTTACTTCAAATATATAAATATATATAGCTTATGTACAGCCAAGTAAATACGTTACTGTCAGTATCATCGTACACGCGGCTGGCGAAACGTGCAATTATATTTGCTTATAATTTAGAACATTTTAAACCAAATTAAACCTTATTGTAATGATTTAAAGTGCTATAATTTAAAATTATTTGTAATATATTCTTTGTTTCGGTGAATGGTTATGGTTTGTTAGTTACATTACTTAACTGTCGGAGGTTGCGAAATGTCTTAGCTATGTGACGATTTACGGATTCACCCTCCATCTATTTCGTGTTGAAACAAATGCTCTGATAACTTTCAAAAATACTTTTAACTAGCTAATTATTATTATTGATTTAGTAGGTACATGATGTATCTTTGAATGTCTTAATGATATTAATGTAAATTAACTTCTACTGAAATAACGTTACCACATTTATAATTAGCGTCGCAGTAGCGCAACTTAGATGTGTAATGCGATACGTAACACACTTGACGGAGAGACTTTTTATAATGTTATTAAGTCATTAAACTCACTACAGCCGCCATTTTGTACATCTTTGATTTTACGGTTGTCATATAAAAATTGGTACAGATTGTATGGTATGCATAAGAAACGAAATTAACAAGTTTAAAGCGCATTTTGATTGTAACATCGCGAATTTTTACTGTTCAAACAATTTCAATTTACCTTTGAAGTTACATTTTAATTGTGTGTCACGGCTAATTCTCGTAACCAGATTACATTCTTGTCAAAATTCATCAAGTATTCGAGTGATCCCAAAGAATGGAATTTAAGGAAAAAAGTCCGTCGCTCCCCTCAAGGCTGGTGAAGGTAGTTATTATGCAAATCCAGAGTCGAGGGGGCCATCTTCAGATATGTTGTGGTCGAATACCGACACACATACATTAGATTTGTAAATTTTCATCATGACAACTAGAAAAATTTTTTATAAAAAAAAAATCCACGTCAAAGTGACGCCGACAATAATATCATTCAGCCATCACCAAGAAGTTTTAATTATTTTGTAGAATAATTAGAAGCGGCAATTAAAATGTAAATGAGGACGATGTTTGTTTAATTTTATTAATGTCAAAGTAAGGTCGCATTATATTGTCAGGGCATCCATCTTTTTTAATGTCTCATACGACGTTAGCTATAATTATGTCCGATTCTATAAATATTTCGTAAATTACACGCCAGATAGATCGGCAACTCTATAATTTTGAGGGCGTTGTCGGAATGTCAAAAATTTCGCCCGTGATGTCGACTAGAATGCTCTCACAGAGTTATACTTAGTGAATCTTGTGACGCCCGGGGACAGAGAGTATTAAGAACAATATAATATAAAAAATATATTATAAATAATAAAGTATTATTACGCCTACTTTCTATAGTGGAGATAACGCAGCGATGCAGAGAAGGGTAATACACATCTAATAAAAATGGCCACATAATTTCAAATGTTGTAGGACCGCTAGTCGCAAGTCGCTGTGTCCGTTCCGGCGCGCGCGCATCTGAATTATTCATGGCCGGTTGTAATTAAATGTCTTGCTGTG